CCCCCACCCCCCTGTTAACCAAATTCTTTAATTGCTTTATAAAAAAAAATTAAAAACACACACACAAAGAACCAAGGAAAAAACAATGCTGCATGAATCGAAAGTGGAGGAAGGAGGCAGAGAGTAATCAATATATTTAATTTAAAGGAAGAACTTAGGCTCTAAGTAAACACCAACTCCGACTAATTAAGAAATTAAATTATATGTTCAATACACGAATATTAAGTTCTGTAAACTGTACTTGCACTGTTGTACAGTATTTTATGATATTTTTTTCAGTAAAAAGAGACCGCATGCCTCTGTTGGAACACATGGATACATGGCCCCAGAGGTTCTATCTAAAGGCAGGAACCGCTATCATGGAATACTAACATTTTGCTATCTTCAACTTACATTTTGCTATCTTCAACTTACATTTTGCTATCTTCAACTTACATTTTGCTATTTTCAACTTACATTTTGCTATCTTCAACTAACAATCCGACATCTTCAACTTACATTTTACCAATTTGAACCTACATGCCATTATCTTAAACTTACATTTCTTAAATTATTTTCAACTTTATTATTATATTCAAAAAACATTTCTCTTTTTTGAATTTGAAATCCACCATCTTGTTCTTACATTCCGCCACATTGAGTTTGCAATCCGCCACTTTAAACTTGCAATCCGCCACTTTAAACTTGCAATCCGCCACTTTAAACTTGCAATCTGCCACTTTAAACTTGCAATCTGTCATCCTGAATTTGCATTTCACCATGTTACCATTGTATTCCACCTTTATGAACTTGCATTCCACCATCTTGAATTTTTATATTCCGCCATCTTGAACTTGTATTCCACCATCTTGAATTTAGATTCCGACATCTTTAACTTTCATTCCGCCATCTTGAACTTTCATTCCACCATCTTGAATTTTCATTCCGACATCTTAAACGTTATTTCGTCATCAATACACCCTATTCTGTTCAGTGCTTACAATCCGGATCCGCAAGATTTTCGCTTCCTAGTCCGGATCTACGGATCCGGATCCAAGGGGCAAAATATCAACCAAAAACTGAAGGGAAAAAAGTTTTAAATAAAAATAAGCGAAAAAAAGAAGAAAAATAATTCGACAATTCTGCTTTGTTAAAAATTCATTGAATCTTAAAGAAATGTTTATGACCTGGATCCGGATCCGGATCCATTTTTTTTCAGTGCGGATGCAGGATGCGATCACATCAAAATTAAATCGATCCTAAGTGTTGATTCTATTATACTGATCCAATATGGCGGATTAATGTAGGAACTGCGTATGACTCCAGTGCTGATTGGTTCAGCTTCGGTTGTATGCTTTATAAATTACTCAAGGGGCATAGTCCTTTCAGACAGCATAAGACAAAGGTTGGTTTAAAGACTTCTTCCCGTTTTTTCTTAAAATATCGTCTTACTTTCTGTCTTTAAGTTGCTATCTTTCTAACTTTCTGTCCTTCAATTACTATCTGTCCTACTGTCTGTCTTTCAGTTGCTATCTAATATCTAACTTTGTTTCTGTCTTACTGTATTACAGTTACTATCAGTCTAATTTTCTATATTATAGTTACTATCTGTCTAATTTTCTGTATTATAGTTACTATCTGTCTAATTTTCTATATTATAGTTACTATCTGTCTAATTTTCTATATTATAGTTACTATCTGTCTAATTTTCTATATTATAGTTACTATCTGTTTATTTTTCTGTATTATAGTTACTATCGGTTATACTTTCTATATTATAGTTACTATCTGTCTAATTTTCTGTCTTTAGTTACTATCTGTCTAATTTTCCATATTATAGTTGCTATCTGTCTAATTTTCTATATTATAGTTACTATCTGTCTAATTTTCTATATTATAGTTACTATCTGTCTAATTTTCCATATTATAGTTACTATCTGTCTAATTTTCTGTCTTTAGTTACTCTCTGTCTAATTTTCCATATTATAGTTGCTATCTGTCTAATTTTCTGTCACATAGTTACTATCTGTCTTACTTTCTGTCTTTCAGTTACTATCTGTCTAACTTTCTGTCTTTAGTTACTATCTGTCTAATTTTCCATATTNTGTCTTTCAGTGTTCTATTTGTCTTAACTTTGTGCCTAACTTTCTGTCTTTCAGTTCTGATCTGTCTAACTTTCTGTTTTTCAGTTATCTTTCTAACTTTCTGTCTTTTAGTTACTATCTGTCTAAATTTCTGTCTTTCAGTTACTATCTGTCTAAATTTCTCTCTTTTAGTCTTCTATTTGTCTAACTTTGTGTCTATCTTTCTGTCTTTCAGTTCTTATCTGTCTAACTTTCTGTTTTTCAGTTCTTATCTGTCTAACTTTCTGCCTTTCAGCTCTTATCTGTCTAACTTTCTGCCTTTCAATCACTATTTGTCTGACTTTCTCCCTTTCAGATACTAAGCTTTCTGTCTTTAATTAGGTTATTATCTGTCGTTAACTATCTGCATTTCTAGGTTACGATAAGTCTAAGTTTCTGTTATTATTTTGCTGTCTGTGCAGTTCACTATCATTCATTTATGATTTAAATCTATAACTGTTTGTCAGACTTTCTATCTATCTATATTATATATCTAAATCTATCTATCCTTCTATCTATATTATTAACGTATGGTTTCCTATTTCTTCTCTGTTTGTATACACGGAGTACACACTTCTCTAAAACAGAAAACAAAGATTTTCATTTTTACCAAATCCTCTCTATTTCTTCCTAACAATCTATCTATCCATCTAACCATTCATCTCTGGTTTTTGATAAAGTCTGTGGCATTTATCAACCTATTTTTAGAAGCGTAAAACTTTGACATTAATAACCAGAAATTATCCAAAAATGTCACATGGATGCCACCAAAATATTTCTAAGATCTAGGACGATCTTGAAGCCACGCCTCTTAATTGTCATGTTTGATAGGACACCCTGTATCTAAATGTCTATTTTTCATGTTTGATGGAACACCCTGTATCTAAATATATAATTGTCATGTTTGATGGAACACCCTGTATCTAAATATCTAATTGGCATGTTTGATGGAACACCCTGTATCTAATATCTAATTGTCATGTTAAATGGAACACCCTGTATCTAAATATCTTATTGTCATGTTAGATGGAACACCCTGTATCTAAATATCTAATTGTTATGTTTGATGGTACACCCTGTATCTAGGGTTGTTAATTAGTTTGGATAATTTTTTTTAAATTCAATAAAAATTCCAATATTTCAACTGTGTTATGGTATAGTTTGCTTTTTAAACTTTGTAATATATTTATCCTAAAAAAAAGGGAAAACGATCCAAAAACGATTGCTACAAATCGTTCGTTTTTGCGTCTTTTTTATAGATATAATAAATTCTTTTATAACTAGCTGAAGTGCCCGGCGTTGCCCGTTGATTAAAAAAAATAATTAAAAAATTTGTAAAATAATTTAAATCTTCAAAAAAAATCGAATGTTTGTAGCCTTTATTATCCCCGGGATACCCTTGGGTTCCGTTAAAGAATTTCAGCCAATTTGGTCTAGTCGTTTGGTTAGCTATAGCTAACGTATAAATCGTTTGTAATCGGATTTTCAAGACTGAGACCATTTTAAAATCTATTTCCAATTTCCAATTCAACAAGTCTAATTTTAGGCTTGTAGATCTAAAAATAACCATTTTAAAGGCTCCTGAAGTTTCCAACTGTAGTTTCCAACTGTAGTTTCCAACTGAAGTTTCCAACTGTAGTTTCCAACTGTAGTTTCCAACTGTAGTTTCCAACTGTAGTTTCCAACTGTAGTTTCCAACTGTAGTTTCCAACTGTAGTTTCCAAGTGTAGTTTCCAACTGTAGTGAGTAACTTTGGCAAAAATAAAGATTATCCCCGTTTGCAAATACTGGGCTAAATGCAGACTTGTTTGTAATCGCATTTTCAAGATGGAGACCATTTTAATATCTACGTACAATTTCCGAGTCAATGAGCCCATTTTTAGGCTTGTAGATCTAAAAAATTATTTTCAATATTAAAAATCTAATTACACGCAATTCTGTAGACCCTTATTAAAAATTGTGCAAACGGAGATTATTTTATTTTTACCAAATTACTTATTTTCCAGTTTTAAACTTTAGGAGCCTATAAAATTGTTATTTTTAAATCTACAAGCATAAAATTGGGCTTATTGAATCGGAAATTGTAAATAGATTTAAGAAATGGTCGCAATCTTGAAAAGCCGATTACACACGAGTCTGTAAACCTTTATTCCCCGTTTCTTGTTGAGACACCTTGTATTATATATATTTATATGAGCTCAGATCTTTATTATTTATGAAATTATGTAGATTTGATAATGTCTTGATAATCGTTGAAACATGTCACTGTTTTATCCACTTAGTTCAATAATAATTCTATCTCTTAATAAAGGAACTGTAGACGTAATTTAATGTGACTCTAAATAGATTAGCATTTCCAATTCTGCCATTTTTCTGTAATCTGAGCAACGTTAAGATAGGATTCGTGGGTTTTCTGTCTAAAAGTGTCGTAATATGACACTTTCTCTCTAGATGCATAAATCAGCAAATCAATTAGTAAATAATCAATTTGATGAAAAAGAGGAATAATTGATCAGACTAAGGTTTAATCGGTGCCATTGTGTTTCGGACATGCCAGACTATAAATGGAGGGTCACTTAAAATTACCTCTGCAGTCCCTTAAGTTTGAGCCCGTTTTTTTAAATATTGGTCACTTAAAATATGTTTTTTAGTATGTTCTTAAATGATAATTTGATGATGGATAAATTATATTGTTGAAATAACATTTGCATTAAATTGAAATGGATTTTGCCCAAATGATAGATTTGTTGTATGGATATTTTTAAAAAGTTTTTTTTTCTTTGTTTTTGACTTTTGTCGCTGTAGTAATTGTTGTTGTTGATGACAATGATAAAGACCGAGGCATATACAGGGATAAGGAGGGGGCTATTGTTTATGCAGATTAATGTTGTTGATGTTGATTGATGTTGTCAATGATTCTGAATTAAAGTTGTTTATGTTGGTAAATTTTGTTGATGCAGATTAATGTTATTGTTTTTGCTGATTAATGTTGTTGATGTTGATGAATGTTGTTGATGATTAATGTTGTTGATGCTGAAAGTTGTTGTTAATGTTGATTAATTTTGTTGATGTTGATTAATGTTGTTGATGCTGATTAATGTTGTTGATGCTGATTAATTGTGTTGATGCTGAAAGTTGTTGTTAATGTTGATTAATGTTGTTGATGTTGAATAATGTTGTTGATGCAGATTAATGTTGTTGATGCAGATTATTGTCGTTGATTATGATTGATGTTGTTAATGTTGATTTTTACTGTTGATGCTGATTAATGTTGTTGATGCAGATTAATGTTGTTGATGTTGATTGATGTTGTTAATGTTGATTAATGTTGTTGATGCTGATTAATGTTATTGATGCAGATTAATGTTGTTGATGCAGATTATTGTTGTTGATGCAGATTAATGTTGATGCAGATTAATGTTGTTGATGCAGATTAATGTTGTTGATGTTGATTAATGTTGTTGATGCAGATTAATGTTGTTGATGCAGATTAATGTTGTTGATGCAGATTAATGTTGTTGATGCAGATTAATGTTGTTGATTATGCTAATTAATGTTGTATTCTAGAGAGATGTGGATAAACGATTAGGCTGTTGTGGGAAAGGAGCAGAAGAATTAAAATCTCATCCATTCTTTTCAGGAGTGGATTGGACACAGGTGACCCCCCCCCCCTCATCCTACT